TGTGTCTTTTTCCTAGCTAGACACAGGGATCTCACCAGGTAAGAAAATACCGATATATATATATACTGATATAAATACTGCTACTGAGCCCAAACCCTCAGAACTGCATTTCTTCCCCAACACCACAAGGGTTTTGCACAGGGCAGACAGAAACCCTGAACAGGGACATCATTTGGGGTGAGATTTGTGTGGTTTTTCCCCAGCTAGACACAGGGATCTGATCAGGTAAGAAAATACTGAGATATATATATATACTGATATAAATACTGCTACTGAGCCCAAACCCTCTGCAGACATTTCTTCCCCAACACCACAAGGGTTTTGCACAGGGCAGACAGGAACCTTGCACAGGGACATAATTTAGGATTGAGATTTTTATGGTTTTTCCCCAGCTAGACACAGGGATCTGATCAGGTAAGAAAATACTGAGACATATATACTGATATAAATACTGCTGCTGACACCGTCTTCATTTTCTTGGATTTTTTTTTAGCACCAATGAATGTTGATGGCTGTGCCAGTGCCGGGATTCCAAGCATTTTGGGCCTTAAAATCTGTGAAGAACTCATTACAACTGGATCTTGACATTCCTGGTGCAAGGAAATTCCTTTTTGCATGTTTTAGTGATGGTTCTGCAGCCAGAGCAGAACTTGGGGACCGGGCTCAACCTGCCTATCCAAAGCTTTGATGCATAACATAAATAAATATAATGCTTTAATAAATAAATAGAATGCTTTGTCTGTTTATTCTACCCAAAATCAGAATGAAATGGCCGTGGGCCTGGAGAGATGCCCTGCAGAAAATCCAGATTTCCCTCTGGCCCATCCCTGTGCCAGGCCTAAAAAAAAAAAAAAGTCAAACCTGCAGCACTTTGAAGCAGTGCAGAGAAATTTTGGTTCTGGGCATTTTCCAAGCCTGGATAGAGGACACTGCCCCAGCCCTAAAAGATTTGCACTTTAGATAAAGCTCCTGAGAGCTCGTGGTATCAGTCAGGCCTGTGAGGAATACACTTTTATAAATCATGTTTGTGTTTTAATCTCTGTGTTTGTTATGGCCGTGCTTTGGTTCCCCCAGGTTTCCAGAGAAAAACTTTTCCAAAGTTTTCCCTGTGTTCCCACAGGAGCACAGGGATGGGCAAATTACAGCTCTGAATTCACAGCCCTTCAGGCTGTTGGTGTCACCAACAACCACAAAATCAGGAGAGAAAATCACAAAGCAATCACGAAGATCAGGCTGCAGAGGAAAAGAAATTTGTTCTCAATTTAAAATAACTAATCACAGGGCAAACAGGAATGTACAGCCAGCTCTGAACAAAGCAGAGAAAAGGACTTAGGCAGGAGAAAGAAGTTTGATATTTTATTTATTGATACTGTATTTGCCCTTGCTATTTCCTGCCATTCCATTCTTTGTTGGCTAGGCCACAGTTTACAATATGCTTTATGGACCTGTCTTGGATTATAATTAATCTATTTTCCTTATCTTGCAGGTGCTTGATATTACAACTGCACTACAGGGAAAGAGCAAAGAGGTAAAAATCAGCAATAGGTAAAAGAAATCTCTGAGGGTCAGATCCAGGTGTTGCCTGAGGTAACTGGAGCCTGAAAATGTCCATCTCTAAATCCAGCAAAGGCTCTGCACTGGATGCTCCTGAGATGAAGGAAATCTCAGAATCATGGAATTGTAAAGGTTGGAAAAGGCCTTTAAGGTCATCAATTCAACCATCAACCCCACACCACCACCACGGTCACCACCAAACCACGTCCCCAGGTGCCACCTCCACGCGTTTTGTGAACACATCCAGGGATGGGGACTCCAACACTGCCCTGGGCAACTGTTCCAGAGCTTTACAGCCCTCCCAGTGAGGAAAAATTCCCAAATTTCCACCCTGAGCTCCCCTGGCCCAGCCTGAGGCTGTTCCCTGGGATAAGATCCCAAATCCCCCCTGCCAGGGACTTGTGCAGAGCCAGAAATTCCCCCTGAGCCTCCTTTGCTCCAGCCTCAGCCCCTTCCCAGCTCCCTCAGGAATTCTCCAGCCCCTTCCCAGCTCCCTCAGGAATTCTCCAGCCCCTTCCCAGCTCCCTCAGGAATTCTCCAGCCCCTTCCCAGCTCCCTCAGGAATTCTCCAGCCCTTCCCCAGCTCCAAGATCCATTCCCCTGAGCACCTCCCCAAATCCCCCAGTGTCCACACCAAGGTCAGGCTGTGACACCTGCCCCACTGGGGATCCTTTCAAACCCACACATCGATGGGGAAGATTCCCCCTGTTGAGAAATACCTTGTAAAAAACGCTGCTTAAATTTGGAGTGGCAGATTTTCACTTCCCTGCTCTGACAGGTCAAAACAAATATTCCAGTTTGCATCAAATCATGAAAAGGGGAAGTAATTAACATTATTATTAACACTGGTGAATTTTCCCTTATAGGAAGAATTCCCAGTGGCAGGGAAAATCTGAACCAGACTGGAGAATCAAGCCAGCTAAATCAGACAGAAATCCTGTGAGCAGGCCCAGGTGTAAATGGGTTTCTTCATCTGCTGGGTCTTCCCAGCCTTTTTTTGTGCTAAAAAGGCACAATCAGGAAAGGAAAAAAAAATCACCCAAAGACCAACATTTGGCCCTGGAGTTTGTGTGTGTGTGTAGCCACTACAAATTGCTGTGGTGGGGCACTGAAAAATGCAGCAAGAGGAAAAAGGGGACAAATCCTCACTCCAGCTTCAGCCAAAGCCCCTGATTGTAAATACAAAATTATAAATTATCAGGAGGTGAGTTGGGTCTTGCACCATTTCTTATTTGAAATAAGTGAATGTAAACTGTAAATACAAAATTATAAATTGTCAGGAGGTGAGCTGGGTCTTGCACCATTTCTTATTTGAAATAAGTGAATGTAAACTGTAAATACAAAATTATAAATTGTCAGGAGGTGAGCTGGGTCCTGCACCATTTCTTATTTGAAATAAGTGAATGTCCTGGCCAGATTTCCCAGGAATACACCCCAATCCTGCTGGATTTATTTCTTTCTGCTGGAGCCAAGCAGGGGGTGAGATTTGTGTTGTCCACTAGATGGCAAATGGTCACAGCTCCTGACATCTGCTGAAAACACCAGCTGAGAGCCAGCCACAGCCCAAAAATCAAACAGATTTAATCCTGTTCCCCAGGAAGAAAAATTAGATACAAAAAAAAAATAAATAAAATTAGCATACAAAGCATTAGAATTCATTCTTTTGGGTTTCCAGTCCAGTGGAATGGTTATTTTCAAGGAATCAGTGCCACTTTGGGTGGATGGAAGATTTTTCCAGGTGAGGAACACCTGGCTGATGCTCAGAACGTCCCAGAAGCCAGGCCAAGGGGAACAGAACATATCTGTGATTTTTACTGCAATTGAAGCCAAAATTAGTGAGGTGTTTGAGCCAGTTTCCCTTAAAAAAAAAGGGTGGAAAAGACAAAATTTGATATTCAGCTGCATGGTGATCAAAGCAGAGAGAGGCTGCTGACAACTTAATTTACCCACTGTAATTCCAGTTATTGAGTCAGAGAAAACAGAAAGTTATACACTTTCATCTTTGAATTTTTAAAGCTAAACTTGAAAAAGTATTTTTTAATGAAATAATCTTCTCTGCTGTTGTGTACAATTTGCTTTCCCTTTCTGATTCCAGCCCTAACATTAAATAAACGGAGCAAATATTAGACATGCTTGTCTAATTTTTCCTCATTTTGCTGATGTGATTAGAAGCTGTTGACTTAGTCATTAATATCTCATGCTGAGATATCAGCTAACACTGCCAGAGAATATTCCATCTCTGCTTAGCACTCAAGTTGTCAGTTAAGAAATTTCATGCTATTAATCAAAATTGTCGACAAAATCATTTCTGCTGGCCCGAGTCTGGATTTTTTTCCCCCATTGTTGAAGGTTAGGACTCCTCAGTTCTCAAACTGAGAAAAATTAAATTAAAAATTTAAAAAAAAAATGGTGATTATTCCCAAGAAGTTTGTTCATTTAGGGCTGTGAGAGCTTTGGAGTGGAGCTCTCATTAAGGAGAGGATGGTATCCCTCAAAAAGCCTGCGTGGACACGGAGCTGACAAGGGATTCTGAAAGGTTTTGTTCTGCAATCTTGTTTTTGTCAGTGTCACTGGAGCTGCCCAGAGAGTTTCCTGAAGTTTAACACCCACATGAATACCAAAGCACCACGAAATAACTGCGTGATGAGAGAAGGAATTTCAAAAATGGAAAATTCAAACTTTCTCTTGACCTTTTTCTGCCAAACTCTTCTGTGAAGGGAGTGTGATAAGAAGGAGCCTGCAGAGCCCAAACCCCTGGGATTTAACAGCAGCTCCTCTCTGCTCTCATTGCTGCTGCTCTCATTTTCTGTGTGCACATCTCAAATAGGAATTGATTTCTTTTTGACCGTGTCTCACCAGGTTTGAATGAACCACTCACGTAATTCATTCAGGTTTGAATTAACAAATTGTGTGACAATTAAAAGGTATTAATAAAAGGTGTTACAAAACACCTTTTCTTATAAAAGGTATATAAAATATACCTATATTTTATTTGATATAATAAATCAATGCTGGGCTGTGACTGTCTCAGGAAAGGATGGAAGAATTTCCTGGGAATCCCAGGCAGAGCCAGAGGTGCTCCATGTCCTGAGGAGCTGGTGCCACGCAGGGAAAGGAACTACCTGGGTCAGGGGGAGCTGTGTCTCCCAGTTTCAGGAATTCCCTGGTCAGGAGGAGCTGTGTCTCCCAGTTTCAGGAATTCCCTGGGTCAGGATCAGGGGAACTGGTGTCTCCCAGTTTCAGGAATTCCCTGGGTCAGGGGGAGCTGGTGTCTCCCAGTTTAAGGAATTCCCTGGGTCAGGAGGAGCTGGTGTCTCCCAGTTTAATGAATTCCCTGGGTCAGGAGGAGCTGTGTCTCCCAGTTTAATGAATTCCCTGGTCAGGAGGAGCTGTGTCTCCCAGTTTCAGGAATTCCCTGTCCCTGTGGCTGCCCAGCCTTCTCCCTTTCCTCCTTCTCCCTGATTTTTCTCGTTCACACAGGCTGTGATGCAGTGCCACATTTCCTTCCCCGCACCCTTTCAATAAATGCCATCCTTTCGTTTTCCAGGGACATGTGAAATGGGAACAGAGCCCTTTCAATAAATGATCCTTTCGTTTTCCAGGGACATCTGAAATGGGAGCAGAGCCCCTGTGAGGAGCCCATTTATGGACAGGGAATCCAGGGCAGCCATGAACCACCACGGCACACGGGAAAAAGGACTTGGGCAGATGCAGGAATGGAAACTAATTTTAGTTATTCCATTGCAAGCTCATCACACTGTCAGTGTCACACTCCTCTTTATCTCCCATCTCACAGCCAGCAGTTACCTCATGCCACAGTTATCTCCTGACAGGGACCGTTGTGGGGCATTTTTGCACTAATTCCATCCCTGTATTTTGGAAAACCTCGAATCACATGCTGTGGGTGCTACAGCACGTTTGCATCCCTCTCCTGCTTCCCTGCAATGCTGTGACTGAGGTCCCTGATTAAGGAGCAGCCTTGACCTGAAATTCCTGAAAAAATTAAATAAAAGGACCAGAGAAACATTTTTTTCACATTTTAAAAGAAGCCTAATATGCAGCAAAATTCATTGGTGTTTAGTTAAAAGCACAGAGGATGAATTTTAAACAGGCACGACTTGACCATGGCTGTTTGTGACAGATTTGGGCAAATTGAGCAAGGAAGGAAATAGCAATGGTGGATGGATG